CAGTTTTGTTCTTTTTATCTAGTACATATATATCTGGTATTTTGTGATATTGTCATTCACTTTTAGGCATTATTTGTTTGTTCCATATCATTGTAATGTCTTTATATTGGAACATTGTTTCATATGGTGGTTTTTTATATTGTTTATTTCATGTATATTTTCTTATTAATCAATATTATAATGCCTATATTGTCATGTTTTTCTATTTGTGATTTTTTATGATAAATACAAGATAGTATAATGTGTTCTACTGTAGCTATCTTGTCTTTACAAAGTGTTTAGTATTTTAATCTTTCATTTTTCATTATTTTTGATTTTCTATACCTACAAAATATTGCTCCATCTTGCATTTTATTTAATTGAAGGAATGCATTTTTTTTAATATTGAATGACTTCCATGCTTTCATTGTAGTAGTTTTATCTACTCCTTTTGACTCGAACCATCTTCTGAAGTGTCACTAATTTGATGGGACTTCCATTTTTTGATGTATTTATCATTAATTTTTTATTTCTATGACTACTTCTTTTTCTTTTTTCTTTTCTATCCCTTCATTTATTATTTCTTCTATTTTTGTTTCATTTATTTTATGAATTAATGTTTTTTAATTCTATTCCATATTCCTTTCTTACTGTACCATCTCTCTAATATGTTATTTCCTATTTCACTTTCTCTGGTGCAGTAGTACATCACTGTTCTAATTAATTCAATAACATATTCGTCCCTTATATTTATTAATCCTTCGCCCATTTCTTCTAGAGGGACATACAACCTATCTTTGGAGTTTCACCATTGTATTTTGCCTTTCTTAAATATTTTCTTATCTCCAAATCAATTTTATCTAGGTCAGTGATTTTCCAATTTACAACTGATGCTGAATATCTGAAGATAGGGATTACTTCAGTGTTTATTCTAGTAATATATCTTCTATTACTACTTTCATCACTGTTTATTTCTTCCATCTTCTGATTCATTTTTCCTTTGATGGTTTTACAATTGAAAGTGTCATCAATTTTATCAGATTGCCATATTCCTAAGTATTTATACAAGTCATCACCTTCAATGATTGGGATGTTTTGCATTCCATTTGGTATTTCTTTAATGTTTTTTAATACCAATCCTGACTTTTTCTCATTCATCTCAATATGTAGCTTATTATTTCTTTAATTTCATTGTGGATTATTCCCATTTCTTCACTACTTTGCGTCATTATTCTCAAATCATCCATATATAATGTGTGATTTGATTTTGGGAATTTCTCTTCGATGATTTGAGAAATTACATTCATCTGAATGATGAAGAGTAGATTTGATAATGAATCACCTTGTAAAATTCCTCTATTTAATTTAATACATCATGGATATTCATTAAATTTATAGCCGATGAATATCTTCCATCTAGTCATCATACTTTCAATCATGTCAATGATGACACACTCATAATTAAAATATTTTAATGGTTCAATTACCCATTCGTGGTTTACAGTGTCATATGCTTTCTTAATGTCATAATATGACTCATCATATTTTGGGTATTTCTCTTCTTTTTGCTGCTTCATCATATAACTATTAATTATTCCTTCTTTAGCAGCTAAAGATTGCAACTTACATCCCAGTTGTTTATTACTAATTTTCAATGATTCACAATTCATGTTAAGTCTTCTGTGAATCTTTTCTTTTAATATGGAGGTAAATACTTTCATAATTACGTTTGTACAACTGATATGACGATAATTAGTGACATCATTCATATCAATTTGTGGATTAATAAAGTTCTTCCACTTACCATATCTAATGGGATGTTTTCGGGGAAGTTTAACCATTCATTAAAGATACTAAGAATGATTTCTCTTGATGATGACATCCTTTTCCAATAATACAAATATATAGTGTCTATTCCTGGTGCTTTCCAGTTATTTATTTTCATTATACTTAAATAATTCATTTATTGTTATTATGACACTATCATAATTGAAATATCTTTCATTCAATAAGGTGATTTGTTTTATTTCCATTTCTCTTTATTTAATATCACTTGTGTTTCATATAACGATTTCCAATATTCTAAAGTAATATCGTTATTTGGGTATATTTCATTTTTTATTTCTTCCTTATTCTAATTTTCTTGTTAGAATCAAACATGATTTTATTTGTATTGATTCTGACCCTTTCTTCCTTATTAAATTTAATTCTTTCTTTTATCATTGTCATCATATATTTTAGGTACTTTATTCTTTCTAGTGCTTTAACTTTAATTCATTCTTCATCATTTTCTTTTAATTTCATGATGCACTTTATTCTGTACCATTTTCTTCCCTTGACCAAATCTTCTAGTCTATTTATTTTCTTTAGGATTTCTTTTATTTCATCAAATTTATCTCTTATTATTTTATTTTGGAGATAAAGATGCATAACCATTGAAATATTCATATCATCTTGCAGATAATCCATTCTGCTTCCTGACCATATCCATCTATTATTAATTTCCATTATTAATTAGTCAGCTTCTTTTCTTTTCCAGTAGTAATTAATGTTTGTACATTTTTCTACTTTCATTTCTTTTACTTTATTGATGAGAGTGTTAAGATATTCTTCATCAATTTCTGTAGAGTTATTCTTTAATATGATGTTTTTTATTATTGAATTACACTCTAATCTTCTATTATATCACTTACTTTCATTTTAATGTACCGTTTAGTGCTTTCTTTTATTTTATGTGACATTTTAATATATTTAATATATTCTTTTTCATTATTGACATTGATGTTTGTCACTTTTATTATACTTTCAATTTGTTCCTATCTTAATTTCTTATATAATTTCTTATTTAACCAATTAATTGCAAAACAATACATCACTTCAATTAAAATTCTATTTCTTTGTTTTGTTGTATTTCTTGTCTGATTATCATCTCTTGTTTTTTGACAGTCAATGCTTTGCTTTCCTCTTCGATCTCCACTTCTGTCTTTTTCATAGGAGTAGTTTCGTTCATCTCCATCGTTCCTGATGATGCTTTCCTCAGTACTGGTTGTGTATTTATCACAAGTGTCATAGTTTTCTTCTTCTCTAATTCCTTCTGTGAGATAAAATTTTCAATATCATCTTGTTGTTTTGATATTATTTGTTTTTGTGCTTCATTTTCTTTTTGTGTGTTGTCTAATTCTTCTCGTGTTATTTCTGCAATCTCATGACTTATTATTGCTGTTTGTTGAATTTCAGAGATTTGTTTTTCTTTATCTCTTATTTCACTTTTCAGCTTCTCAACTTTCCTCTCTAGTACTTCTGCTTTTTCCTCTAACACACTACTCTTCTTCTCCAGTAATTCTCCTTTTTTCTTCAGCTCTTCTGTTTTCTCCTTTTGTTCATCATTTTCCTTCTGTAACTTCCCTTTAGTGGATTTTAGACTTCGAATGGTTTCTTCTTTGTTATTCATTTCCATGATTTTCCTTCCTTCTATCTCATTTATTTCACCGTGTAATTTTATATTTTCTTCTGTTAGTTGTTCATTTTCTTTCTTCATTTCATTATAATTCGTTTGTACCTTCTTAATTTCTCTTTTCAAATTTTCTATCTCTTTCTCAAATTCTTTTCTGACTATTTCTTTTGCTTTTTCCATCATTTCATCTGAGATGGTTTGTTCTTCTTCCTTTCTTTTTGCTTGATATCCTTTAATTTCTTCTTCTATTCTTTTAATCTGCTTTTGAAGTATTTTAATTTCTTCTTTTTCTCTATTATTTTCCTCTTCATTCTTTGTTTCTTCTTTGTTTCTTCTTGTATTTTTCTTTCTTTTTCCATTTTATTTATTATTTTAGCCATTTTACATCTTTTTTTGTAATTCTTTGATTGGATTTCTGCTTTTGATTTCTGTTTCAATTGCTTGGATATCTTCTTCTTTCCATCCTTTTGTTCTTTCTTTAAATTCTTCTTGCATTTTTTTCAATTATCTTTTTCTTTCTAATTGCATATACTTCTTGAAGAATATCATATCATCTTTTTCTTTTACCTTCGTATTTTTTCAGTATTTCTGAATATTCTCCTTTTCCCCATTTACTTGTTATTCCTTTTATTCTTTCGTGTATCTCTTTTATTGTTAACCATCTATGTCTATTGTTTGTATATTCGTTATTATTCCAGTATTTATCCTGTTTTTTTATTCGTTCTTCTTTGTCTTTGTTGTTTTTAACCCCTTTTCTCTTGGTATTTCTTTTATTATAATTGTAATATCTTTTATTATAATCGTAATATCTTTTATTGTTGTTATTGACATTAAACCTTGTATTTCTATGTCTTGTTTGCTTTTCTTTATAAGACGTCAAGGCATTACTCCATAACAATGGCAATAAAATTTGTTGTATATCCTGCATTGGAAAAGTATCTCCAATTATATTCATAAAATAAATAAATAAATACAAAGAATTACAAGAGAAAATAAGAAACAGTAGAGAAATAATATATGTAGAAATAATACCTGTAATATTATCAATAAATGGACTAATACATAAAGAATCAGCAAGAAGATTAAAAACACTAAAATTACAATTAGACTTTGCCAAAATCCTACAAACAATAATTATAAAAAATATGAAAGACTTAATATTTTACACATTCAATTCTGGCAGCACATTAGAAAAAGAACAATCTAATGCAAGCATGTTAGAAATGAACTCTATGACACCAATAGAACATAATGAAGAAAATGAAATAAACACTTCTCAATATGAAGAAAATCCAATAATGGATATATCTAATAATTGACCTTTTTTCATGAGATAAAAGTGAAAAATAAATAAATATTAAATTAAACTTTAATAGTTTTAACCTACTGTTCAGGTGAGAGTTTCTTCCAATCCTTTACACTCTCCAGAATCTACTTATTCTTGTTTTTCTACATTTCTGTATTATCCTGAATGATCATCACAGTTTTTCATAATATCTTTCATATTTGATTTGAAAAAAAGAAAAAAAAAAGAAAATAGGAAGGAAAAAGGAAAAATGAATAAAAAGCAGTTGTAGTTTAAATGGTAAAACATTCATCTTAATCCATTGCAAATGGTTTAAGTTTAGAATTATAAAAACAAAGTGAAAGTCGTGAGTTCAACTCTCACCAACTGCATTTTTATTTTTATAAAAAACAAAATTTTTATTTAAACTTAAAAAAGAAATTACCTAATTAAATGTTATTAAATTTTGTATTTCATTTTACATTTCTTTATTCTTCTCTGCTATAAATCGAAAGTGACACGTTTGAAACATCACTCATAAACACTAATACAAATTCAAGCACTGACTCTCTTTGTTATTTTCTGGTTATGACGGTGTATTTGAATTAGAAATGTATTAGGTAAAGTTGCAAAGGGTGTAGCAAGATATTATGATAGAATATTACATGGTGTAATATAAGGAAGTACTAAAGTGTTTTTAAGACTAAAAGAAAATTAAACATAATAATATAATGGGAATGAAATACTCTCTTCTCTCATTCATAAAATAAAGAAAAAAGGAAAAAGAAAATGTTTAAAATTAAGGCAGAAAATAAACAAAAGGTTAAAAAGAAGAATTAAGCAGAAGAAGGATGAGAAGACATTAATAAGAAAAAATAAAACAAAGAAGTGATTTTCTCAATTTTCAAGAAAAACATAAATGATAAGTTAAAGAAAAAGATTACTCTTTTTAAAAAACAAATAACTCAGGGATTAATCTCGGCTAAACTAGGAAGAATATATGAAAAATCTATTAACACTTAATTAACTAATTTTTAATTATTAATGAATTTCTCTTTCTTTTGTTATTTGTTTTTTAAAATTTTTTGTGGTGTTTGATGTAATGAATTTTTTTTGAAAAAAGAAATAATAGTAAAAGAAATAATAATAAAAGAATAATAAAAGAATAATAAAAGAATAATAAAAGAATAATAAAAGAATAATAAAAGAATAGTAAAAGTATATTAACTAAAAGAATAATAAAATAATAGTAAAAGAATAATAACAAGGGTTATAAAATGTTATTTAAACTCAAAAAGAAGAAATAAAAATAGAAAACAAACTTGAAAGTAATATATTGTAACCAAAACATATTATAATGTTTGGTAAAAAAGTATTACAAGAAAATAGATATTGAAAAAGGTAGTATTCTAGAAATATTATTTTTAAAGTATCTAATAGAATAAGAAATCAACAGAAATAATAAAATAACAAATAATTAAGACATAGAATAAAAATAAAGAAAATATTAATATATTAAATTTATTTCATTATTTATTATTTTGGTAAAATGATATTTCATATTTATCTTCAACATATTGAATAAAACAATACTTTTTGATATTGTTGTTCTTTTCTTTTTATTTATTCTTTTCTATCATTTTATTTATTCTTCTTTTCAATTGTATTAAAACTCATAAATATTATGTCAGAAATATCACAAACATTAAATAAATGAATATTTTAAACCACAAATTCTCTTCTAACATAGACATTTACTTTATTAAGATAATTCCAATTCATTATCAAATGATTTGTGGTTATTCATATTAATTCAATGAATATTATATTGAATAGTATTTTTCTATTCATTATGTTTATTGTGTTTTATTTCTATTTTATTATTTCTGATTAATTCAAATCAATTCTCATCAAATTATTGTTAATTGAATATTTAATTAATCGTATTAATATGAATGAAAGAATAATGTT